TGTGGGCTTCCTGGTACTGTCACAACAAAGGACCACAATCCACGTGGCTTAAAACCATAGAAATCAGCTGAGCGCAGTGGCTCACGCTTGTAATCCCAGCACTTTGGGAGGCCAAGGCGGGCGGATCACTTGAAGTCAGGAGTTTGAGAGCAGCCTGGCCAAGACAGTGAAACCCCGTCTCTACTAAAAATACAAAAATTAGTTGGGCGTGGTGGTGGGCGCCTGTAATCCCAGCTACTCAGGAGGCTGAGGCAGGAGGATGGCTTGAACCCGAGTGGTGGAGGTTGCAGCGAGCCAAGATTGTGCCACTGCACTCCAGCCTGGGCAACAGAGGTAGACTCTGTCTCAAAAACAAAACAAAAACAAAAATCATAGAAATCGATTCTCTGATATTCTAGAAGCTAGAAGTCCAAAATCAAGGTGTCAGCAACGTCACCCTCTCTCCAGAGGCTTTGAGGCTGGGTGCGGTGGTTCATGCTTGTAATCCCAGCACTTTGGGAGGCTGAGGTGGGCAGATCACTTAAGGTCAGGAGTTCAAGACCAGCCTGGCCAACACGGCAAAACCCTGTCTCTATAAAAATTACAAAAATTAGCCAGGCATGGTGGCGGGCGCCTGTAGTCCCAGCTACTCAGGAGGGTGAGGCAGGAGAATTGCTTGAATCCAGGAAACGGAGGCTGCAGTGAGCAGAGATCGCACCACTGCACTCCAGCCTGGGTGACAGAGCGGGAGTCCATCTTAAAAAAACAGAACAAAACAGGCCGGGCGCGGTGGCTCACGCCTGTAATCCAGCAATTTGGGAGGTCAGGCGGGTAGATCACGAGGTCAGGAGATCGAGACCATCCTGGCTAACACAGTTAAACCCTGTCTCTACTAAAAATAGAAAAAAATTAGCCGGGTGTGGTAGCGGGCGCCTGTAGTCCCAGCTACTCAGGAGGCTAAGACAGGAGAATGGCGTGAACCTGGGAGGCAGAGCTTGCAGTGAGCCACGATTGTGCCACTGCACTTCAGCCTGGGTGACAAAGTGAGACTCCGTCTCAAAACAAAACGAAACAAAACAAGGGGTTCGAGGGAAATCCTTCTTCACCGTTTCCAGCTTCTTGTGGCTCCAGGTGTTCCTTGGCTTGTGGCCACAAAGCTCCCATCTCTGCTTCCCTCTTCACATGGCCTTCTCCAAGTTCATCTCCTCTCCCATCTCTCATAAGTACCCTGGTTACTGGATTTAGGGCCCATCTAGTTAGTGCAGGATGTTCCCATCTCAAGATCCTTCACATAATTACATCTGCCAAGACCCTTGTTCTGAATAAGGTCACATTCACACGTTTCAGGAGTGAGGATGTGGCGTATCTTTTCGGAGGCCACCGTCCGAATCCCTGCATCACCTCATGCAGTAGGTAGTGTTGTCATCTGCATTTAACCAACGAGCTCAGGATGGTGCATCACTTGTCCAGGGTCACACAGCTTGTACATGGCAGAGCCTGATTGGAACCTAGGCAGCTGTGGTGTCACTGTATAGCCTCCCGGGGCTCTCCAAGGAAGATGGCTGAGCTCCGTGGGCAGGGTGTTCTCACACCAGCAGAAATGGGACACGTGCACTATCCTTTGGGCCTCCATGCAGGCCGTCCCCCTGCAGCCGACCTCCTCGCCCCTCCTGTGTTGCACATGGTGGGCCAGAGTTGGTGGCTGGTAGAAGGCTTCCAGGGCTGTGTTAACGGGTGTGCTGTCATATGTGAACATCATTCCAGGAGAGGGGGCCTCCTCAGGGGTAAGTGGGGTCTGGCTGTTAACCTCGCAGATGGTGGCCGCTCCGGGATTAGAACACTGGGGCCGTGACCAGGGACAGACATCCTTCCTCTGAGCCTCGTGATCTCTCTTTCCCTGCTCTCCAGGGAAAGCTGCTCGCTGATCTGGCCAAGCGTCTGGGCCTCCACTATGTGGTCTATAGCGGCCTAGAGAACATCAAGAAGCTGACGGCAGGGAGATTGACCGCGGCGCACTTTGACGGCAAAGGAGAGGTGGAGGAATATTTCCGAGACATCGGCGTTCCCATGACCAGTGTGCGGCTGCCCTGCTATTTCGAGAACTTCCTCTCCCACTTCTTGCCCCGGAAAGCCCCAGACGGAAAGAGCTACTTGCTGAGTGAGTGCCCTTCCTCGCACACGGTGAGGCAGAGCTCTCCACCTTGTGAAGCTGTTAGTGTAGCAGACCTTGGGCCGCTGTCACGTGGTACCAGGTCCGAGCCATGGCTCCCTCACGTTGGGCCCAGGACTGAGCATGTCCTGTCAGCTTGTGGGGCCTCGACTTCCTGTTCTGTGAGATGGGCTTTATACTGAGGTTTGCAAGGGTGGCAAGATCTACTGAGACAGTGATGATGCAAATGCTCGCTTAGTCCATTGGAAGGCTTTACAGAGAGGACCTAGTGATTGTCATTTCTACTTCAAAGATAAGGAGGAGGACCAGGCGTGGTGGGTCACGCCTATAATCCCAGCACTTTGGGAGGCTGAGGCGGGGATATCACCTGAGGTCAGGAGTCCGACACCAGCCTGGCCAACATGGTGAAACCCCGTCTATACTAAAAATACAAAAATTAGCCAGCCCAGCGTGGTGGCGCACACCTGTTATCCCAGCTACTTGGGAGGCTGAGGCAGGAGAATTGCTTGAACCCAGGAGGCGGAGGTTGCAGTGAGCCGAGATCGTGGCACTGCACTCTAGCCTGGGCAACAGAGCAAGACCCCGTGACAAAAAAAAAAAAAGACTGGGCGCGATGGCTCAGGCCTGTAATCCCAGCACTTTGGTAGGCTGAGGAGGGTGGATCACAGGGTCTGGAGATCGAGACCATCCTAGCTAACATGGTGAAAGCTCATCTCTACTAAAAATACAAAAAATTAGCCAGGCGTGGTGGTGGGCGCCTGTAGTCCCAGCTACACTGGAGGCTGAGGCAGGAGAACGGTGTGAACCTGAGAGGCGGAGCTTGCAGTGAGCCAAGATGGCGCCACTGCACTCCAGCCTAGGCGACAGAGCAAGACTGTCTCAAAAAAAAAAAAAAACCTCCAGTCAGGGATATCTCTTGCTCTGGTTTCTGAGCTCTGTGCCCTCGAGCTCCTAGGGGATCTGAACAGGTAGCTGCATTGGCCTGTCTCTAGGTAAGAGGATGGCACCCAAGCACTCCACAGGCCACACCCAGACCCTTGCCAGCCTCCCCATCTACAAAACCTCAGCCTGGAAAGTTGCAAGTCATTCATTCATTCAGGATTTATCAAGCGTTTATCATGGACGTGCTGCTCTGGGCCAGCCCTTGGTGTCTCCTTAATCAGGATTTCTGGTAAGTGAGTTGGTATTTAGAGTATCCACCCAGAGGTGGACATTCCAGCTTCCAGGAATTTAGGATGTGACAGAGTACTTCAGGCTGGTGCCTCAGGATCAGCGGAGACCCTGGGCTCCAGCCGCACTCTCTGTAGCAGCTTTCAAAGTCCTTTTCCTTTGTCCCTTGTCCATCATCCTAGCGCTGAGAGAGCTGGGCAGGCCCAGGTTCTTAGCCCCATTCTGGGAATGCAGCAACCCAGACTCAGAGAGCCCCAACAGCCTGCCCCAGGTGGCAGTAGCTGGATACCATCCTGCTTCCTGACTCAATTCCACTGCTACCTCTGTGCTACCACAAATAGCAAGACATATCTTAGCTATGCCTGAGTGCTGGAGTATGCAGCTGACTGCTGGGAAGAACCAGCTTGGACCCTTTGGAGAGGGGCTCTATCCCTGCCCAGGTCTGCCCTTGGGACATGTGCCAGCTCATGTCTGTGCCCCACAGGCCTGCCCACAGGTGACGTTCCCATGGATGGCATGTCTGTGTCCGACCTGGGTCCCGTGGTGCTCAGCCTGCTGAAGATGCCAGAAAAATACATCGGCCAGAACATCGGGCTGAGTACTTGTAGGCACACGGCTGAGGAGTACGCTGCCCTGCTCACCAAGCACACCCACAAAGTCGTGCATGATGCCAAGGTGGGCCTCCCACCCCAGGGGACTCAGGCAGCCGTGTCAGGGCTTTCTAGCTCCCCATAGGGAGGGTGTATCCAGGGCTGCCCACCCCTCTGGGACTGTCTCTTATACACATCTAGATGTGTATAAGAGACAGCCAGGGCTTTCTAGCTCCCCATAGGGAGGGTGTATCCAGGGCTGCCCACCCCTCTGGGAAATGCATCTAAATTCATTTGTTCATTGTCAACGTTTATTTTCTGCTGTTCTAGGAGCTAAGTGGCCACAGAGTGAAATTTCTGGCTTAGATGTTTTGGCCAAGTAGCGAGAAAAGCTTCCAGGAGGAGGGGTGAAAATGCAGGCCCTGCTGGGCTCCTCTGTGGGAGGGGATTTGAAGGGAAAGAGTCTAGAAAGAGAGGCCCAACCCCTGCCCCCAATATTGGCCTGGCTGGGTGGGCAGGAGGCCTACTGGACAGACTCTTGGGTACCTGGTTTCTAATGTCCGTCATTACCATTAGGAAAGTAAGACCTACTCATTAAAGAATCTGGAAGGCCGGGTGCAGTGGCTCACGCCTGTAATCCAGAACTTTGGGAAGCTGAGGCAGGTGGATCACCTGAGGTCAGGAGTTCGAGACCAGCCTGGCCAACATGGTGAAACCCCATCTCTACTAAAAATAAACAAATTAGCTGGGTTTGGTGGTAGGCGCCTGTAATCCCAGCTACTTGGGAGGCTAAGGCAGGAGAATCACTGGAACCCAGGAGGCGGAGTTTGCAGTGAGCCGAGATCATGCCATTGCACTCCAGCCTGGGTGACAGAACGAGACTCCAAACAAACAAAAAAAAAAGAATCTGGGAAACACTGGAGTCCTTAAAAGACAAAAGTTGGGCTGGGCGTGGTGGCTCACGCCTGTAATCCCAGCACTTTGGGAGGCCGAGGCAGGCGGATCACGAGGTCAGGAGATCGAGACCATCCTGGCTAACACGGTGAAGCCCCGTCTCTACTAAAAATACAAAAATTAGCCGGGCGTGGTGGCGGGCGCCTATAGTCCCAGCTACTCGGGAGGCTGAGGCAGGAGAATGGTGTGAACCCAGGAGGCGGAGCTTGCAGTGAGCCTAGATCGTGCCACTGCACTCCAGCCTAGGGGACAGAGCGAGACTCTGTCTCAAAATAAACAAACAAAGAAACAAAAGACAAAAGTTGAGCTGGGTATGGTGGCTCACACCTGTAATCCCAGCACTGTGGGAGGCCCAGCTGGGTAGATCACGAACTCAGGAGCTGGAGACCAGCATGGCCAACATGGTGAAACACTGTCTCTACTAAAAATAGAAAAATTAGCCGGCATGGTTGCAAGCACCTGTAACCCCAACCATTAGGGAGGCTGAGGCAGGAGAATTGCTTGAACCTGGGAAGCGGAGGTTGCAGTGAGCCGAGATCGCACCACAGTATTCCACCCTGTGCAACAGAGCAAGACTCCATCTCAGAAAAAAAAAAAAAAAAAAAAAAAAAAGTTGGTTGGGCACGTTGGCTAATACCTGTAATCCCAGCACTTTGGGAGGCTGTGGCAGGAGGATTGCTTGAGCCCAGGAGTTGAAGACAAACCTAGGCAACATAGTGAGACCCCATCTCTACAAAACATACAAAAATAACCCGATTGTGGTGGTGAGCACCTGTTGCCCCAGCTATTCAGGAGGCCAAGGCAGGAGGATCACTTGAGCCTAGGTCTTGAGTTCAAGACCTGCCTGGGAACCATAGGGAGACCCCTTCACTAGAAAAAATAAAAATTAGCCATGTGTGATGGTACGTGCCTATAGTCCCAGCTATTCAGGAGGCTGAGGTGGGAGGATTGCTTGAGCCCAGGAGTTCGAGGCTGCAGTGAGCTATGTGCACCCTACCGCCACTCTAGTCTGAACGACAGAATAAGACTCAGTCTTAACAACAACAAAGACAAAAGTCACCCTTAGAGCCCTACCGAGACCCAGTAGTAATGGGGGGAGGCCGTGGCACAGAAAGGTTCAGGGTTCAGGGGGGTCAGCCTCCTGGGCTGAGATCTGGTTCCAGCCATTGAGACCTGCCAACGTGTAAGTTCAGGAACGTTTCCTGACCCCCCCCACACCTGTTCTCACATCCGAAAAAAGAGTATAAAAAGAATACACACCCCTGGGGTGTGGTGAGGATTAAATGAAAAAAACTGCAAAAGCTTTGTTTTAGTACTATGCCTAACACCTCCAAAATACGCACTAAATGACTTACATTGCTTTAAAAAAGAAAAAGGCCTGAGCCAGGTCATGGAAGATTTGGGGAGCTGAGAAGTTAAGATTCAGCTCAGTGGGGATGGGAACAGCTTTGGTTTTTTGTTTGTTTGTCTTGTGTGTGTTGTTTTTGAGACGGTCTCACTCTTTTGTCCACGCTGGAGTGCAGTGGCGTAATCATAGCTCACTGCAACCTCAACCTCCCAGGCTCAAGCAACCCAACCACCTGTGCCTCCCAAGTAGCTGGGACTGTAGGTGCATGCCACTGGGCCTGGCTAATATTTGAAAATTTTTTGTAGAGAAGGGGTCTCGCTTTGTTGCCTAGGCTGGTCTCGAACTCCTGGGCTCAAGCGATCCTCCCACCTCCACCTCCCCAAGTGCTGGGATGACAGGTGTGAGCCACCATGTCCGGTCAAGCTTTGGTTTTTGAGCAAGAAAGTGATGCAGGGAGGTCTCTGATTTGGAAGGGATTGAGATATTTTCATCTCATGATCTGAAAATAATAGTCTTTTTATTTATTTATTCATTTTTGAGACAGGGTCTCACTCTGTCACCCATGCTGGAGTACAATGGTGTGATCTCAGCTCACTGCAACCTCCACCTCCTGGGTTCAAGCAGTTCTCCTGTCGCAGCCTCCTAAGTAGCTGGGATTACACGCATCCACCACCAGGCCCGGCTGATTTTTGTATTTTTGGTAGAGATGGGGTTTTACCGTGTTGGCCAGGCTGGTCTCAAACTCCTGGGCTCAAGTGATTTGCCTGCCTCAGCCTCCCCAAGTGCAGGGATTATGGGAATGAGCCACAGCCTCTGGCTAAGAACAATCTTTAAACTGATCTAGAATGTCAGGCTGCTCAGGAGAGTAGCGGTTTCTCAACTTTCGGCTTTTCTAACTTCTACTAAGTTTTCAAATGACCTTGTACTGAGGACCTGGGTCAGCGACCGAGACAGTAGTGGTTCTGGGTGTAGCAAGTCGGGAGACCCCAGCCCATCCGGCCTTCCCCCCCAGCCTGCCACCTCCCAGGGCACTGGAGGACACCGGCCACAACAGGCTTCTCTGCTTCCAGATGACTCCTGAGGACTATGAAAAGCTTGGCTTTCCCGGGGCCCGGGACCTGGCAAACATGTTCCGTTTCTATGCCCTGAGACCCGACCATGACATCGAGCTGACCCTGAGACTCAACCCCAAGGCCCTGACGCTGGACCAGTGGCTGGAACAGCACAAAGGGGACTTCGCCCTGCTGTGACCTGCCCATCTTGCAGCCCCTTGTGGGGGTTGGGGACACCAGAGGGGCAGAGGCACCGACATCTGAATAAAGCCATTGTTCTCCCAGATGGCTTCCAGGATTTGGCTTGGGGTGATAGCTGGGTACCAACA